CCCAGCCCAAAGCAGCTGGCTGCCGCTGCAGGTCCCCAACCGAGGCCAGTGACCCGCTAAAACCTGCTCCCTGGGCCACTTCCCGCTTGGCTGCTCACGTCAGCCCCTCACCTGGAAGACAAGGAAGTTCCTGGCTTTGATGAGGATCCCCAACTTCTCCAGCTCCTCGCTGTACTCGCTCAGCTGCACCACTTTGTTATTGATCTTGTACTCCGACGAGCCCCCTGCAAGAGACGCCGGGGAGTATCGGTCCCTGCCCACGGCACCCGAGCACGGGTCAGCCTGCAGAGTCCCCAGGTGCCGGAGGATGTCCTGGGTGGGGTGGTGCACTCTGCACTCTCAGCTGGTGTGGCTGTGGACAAACAAGAGAAGTGGCCAGTTCTTCCTGCGGACACAGTGGATGAAGTCCAGCCCCCCTCTGTGAGGTGAAAATGACCGTGCCCTGCACTGTCAGAGCCGCTGTGCTTGCACAGAGGCCATGGTCGGAATGTCCGGCTATCCCCAGGAGTGGGAGCTGCCCTGGGACCGCACCCATACCCTGTGCTGTGTATAGTGCGGCTGAGGAGGGGGTGGGGGAGATGTCCCATGCCTCTGTGTAGAGGGGGCTTGTGAAGGGAGGGCGTCCTCCTGTGTCCCGCCTTGGGGTCAGGAGCATGTCAGGTCTCTTCAAACACGCATGTGGCTATCAGGCCCGGCCCCTGTGTGGCACGCAGCTGGAGCCGTGCGGCTGAGGAGGGGGTGGGGGAGATGTCCCATGCCTCTGTGTAGAGGGGGCTTGTGAAGGGAGGGCGTCCTCCTGTGTCCCGCCTTGGGGTCAGGAGCATGTCAGGTCTCTTCAAACACGCATGTGGCTATCAGGCCCGGCCCCTGTGTGGCACGCAGCTGAAGCCACCTGCCCGGGGGTGGCACGGCACGTGCTTGCACGTGCACAGGTTGCTGCATGATCCATGGTAAGCAAGGCCCATGCGTGCGGTCCCTGGTGTCCCTCCTCACCCCTCTGGGAAGGGAACAGTGATGGCACTTACATGGTGTGGCCTCCCAGGATGACCCTCGTGAGTCCGCTGATGGGACAGCTCGGGAGTCTGGCTGGTCTGGCACCCTCCATGGTAGCTCCTCCTCTGTGCCCTGGTCAGGGGCCTCCGGTCCCGGATTGCTGCCCCCCGGGGTGGCACAGACCGTCCCACCCCCCATGATGCGGTCCATGGCATTGAAGTAAAGGCCGGTGTCTGCCCCTGCTGAGGAGCTGCCCTGAGTGGCCCTGGCATATGCCTGACGCAGCTCCTTGATCTTCATGCGCACCTATTCTTGTGTGCGCATGTGGCCTTTGGTGGCCATGGTGCCAGCTATGCGTCCGTAGACGGCGGTGTTCTGCCATCTAGAGCAGAGATCATAAATATTGGAGGCCTCACCCCAAACCGCAATGAGGTCCATGATCTCCGCACTAGTCCAGGAGGGTGCTCGCTGTCTCCGGCCCCTGGCTGGCTCCTGGGAGCTGTGGGACTGGGTGGGGGACAGCTGGCTAGCACTGACTGCCCGGCTCATTCTCTGGCCACTGGATGAGGGGCAGCGACTGTTGGCAGGCCTGGATCTGGCATACAGTGTGGCCAGAGTCTACCCCTTTAAGGGCTCCGGCCCTGGGAGAGAGTAGAAGAGTTTCCTGATTTGGCCGAGAGTGGCCACTACAGGAAACGGAAGGGCTGGAGGCCCCCTATTTCAGAATAAGCGTCTACACAGTTCGAATTTGGCGTTATTCCTCATAGAATGAGGTTTACCAAATTCAAAATAAGCGCCCCGCTATTTCGATTTTATTTCGAAATAGCGGTTTGCCTGGGTAGACGCTAGGAAAGTTAATTTGAAATAATGGCTATTATTTCAAATTAACTTTGATGTGTAGACATACCCAAAGACTCCCTAGAGTCCAAACTAGGGGTATTCTATTTGCTACCCAAGATCCATAAACCTGGAAATCCTGGATGTCTTATCATATCAGTCTTTGGCATTCTTACAGCAGGATTGTCTGGCTATGTAGACTCTCTCCTCAGGCCCTACACTACCAGCATTCCCAGCAATTTTTGAGACACCACTGACTTCCTGAGGAAACTACAATCCTTTGGAGATCTCTCAGAACACACCCATCCTAGCCATTATGGATGTGGAAGCTCTCTACACCAACATTCTATGCAAAGATGGACTACAAGCTACCAGGAACTATATCCCTGAGGATGTCATGACACAACTAATAGCTGAGATTTGTGACTGTTTTCACCCACAATCATTTCAGATTTGAGGATGATTTATACCTCCCAGCAGGCAGCACTGCTATGGGTACTCGCATGGCCCCAGAGGATGTCAACATTTTTATGGCTGATGTAGAACAATGCTTCCTCATCTTCTGTCCCAAGTGCCTACTACACTGATGACATCGTCATCATCTGGACCCATGGGAAGGAGACCCCTAAAGAATTTCACTGGGTATTCAACATTTCCACACTGCCATCCATCTCAGTCTGGACCACTCCACACAAGAGATTCACTTAAGTGATAGTCACATAAATGCCACTGGAAACCTTCTGACTGGACAGCCATACTTACCTATACACTTCTAGCTTTCATTCAGAACACATGGCAAGATTTATTGTCTACAGCCAAGCCTTAAGATACAACCACATTTGGTCCAATTTCTCAGACAGAGACAAACACCTAGAGGATTTGCATCAAACATTCTTAAAACTATAATACCTACCTGGGGAAGTCAAGAAACAGATTGACAGGGCCACGTGGGTACCCAGAAGTCACCTATTACAGGACAGATCCAACAAAGAAAGCAGCAGAATG